CATAGTGTCAGTGCCCGCTCGGGAGCCCCGGGCGCAGCCCCTGCCCAGAGCCGCAGCCCGCGCGATCCTCCGCGCCCCAGCGCCGCAGCTGCTCTTCGGGAGCCGTGCATTGTTGTGAGCCACTGGAGGGGCGCGGGGATTGCCTAGCCCGGAGCCCCTCAGCGCCCTTTAGAGCCATGTGGATACCTACGGAGCACGAAAAATACGGCGTGGGTGAGTGCTCGCGGGCGAACTTTTACCACGCTCCTGTCCTTGTCCCCACGCAGCTCGCTCGCACCGCGCCAGGCTGCAAATGCCGGGTCTTGGCATAGCGCGGCGGGTCCCGGGCTTGGCAGCACCGGCCTCTAGGCGAGGGGTGCTCGCTGGGGTCTCGCTCCCCACCGCACACGCAGCGCGCCTCGAACCCGGTCCCAGAACGTAGAGACAGCAGCCCAGGGCTCCGCTGGCGGAGTTTGGAGCGGCCGCGGGGCGTGTTGCGTGCCAAGTTGGACGGGGAGGCCGGTAGGGTTTGTCTTCGTCCAGCCCATGCTGGCCCACAGCGGCAGAGAGGCGGCAGTGGGCTGCATGGATTTCCTGAGGTGCTGAGGGAGATCGCCATCCCGCAGCGAGAACACTCCCAAACAGTAGGGAGGCGCGAAGTCCCCTTAGCTGGGGTCTGCATTCCCGGAGTGCGGAATGTGGCACCGGCAGCCCCTGTGACAGACGGAGCTGGGACGCAGCCTCCTTCCTCCCTTGCCTCCCTGGTGTCTGGGGTGTGTGTGTTGCGGCCGGGATTTGGTAAATTTCAACATCTGTGTTGCTGCGCTCTTTGGTCCTTGGAGAGGAACCGAGATTTCGGCAGCGATTTTACTTCTGGACACCTTCTCCACCAGGGGATGAGCGCAGTAGGGGGTCGTGAAGGCCCGCTGGAAAGTGTTGAGAGAGAGGAGGGTCAGAAAGCCTGGCTCTTGGATGCTGGGAGGCAGCTTTTAGGAGGGGGCTACCCTGGCACTGATTTGGGAGAAAAAGGAACCGGATAGCGTTTGCTGTTCTGTGCAAAGGTGAACAACAAAGGACATTAATGTTGACTGATGAATACAGGAGGCTCCCTTCCCTTCCTCCTCCCATTTCGGAAGGATTACAGTTCCCGTTTTTTGTTGTTGTTGTTTCATTTCAGCTGGGTTCCCCCCCTTGACAGTCACTCCTTTTAGGGTTGAGACTGTTAAGAAACAAGGCTCACTGACAAGCCCGAAGCAGCCAAATGCAATTATAACCTCCCGGAAGGTCTAACAGAAAGAAAGCATTATGGATTTTACTGACAATCTTCATTTCCTTTAATGCCCCGTCCTGCCGATTGGCGTTCTTGTTTTTATTGTGGATGAACCTAGTGATTTATGTGATATGGATATGTGTTTACGTTCCGAATTTATTCTCCTGTAATTTCAAAAAAAAAAAAACCCAAAAACTGGGAAACCTTTTAAGGGAGTCCTAATCACGATTAGGAGATTTCCTCCATCCCCTCCCCGCCCCCAATTCGCCTCGGGATGGGACTCATCTACTGAAGGGGCTCTCTGATTAAACAAAGTCATATTTAACATGAGCTTCGGCTCTGGGCTGTGACTGACAATAGTTTGTCGTGTACCCACCTTTGAGAAGGGTTTCCAGCTTCTAACTGTAATGGGAGCCCTTGCCAAAGGGCTCTCCAGAGAGGTGTAGATAGTGGTCCTTTTCTCTCCTTTTTTTCCTCCTTTTGGGGGATTCGATAACCCTTACAAGGGGGAAGGCCCTTCCCTATCTGAGCTAATAAGGAAGTAGAGGACATTGCCTTCCAACTAGTCTTGACACCTGGTGCAGGAAGCCCAGACCCATCCATGCAACTCGTTCTGGTCAGGCTTGGAGTCGACCCCAGAGCTTCTCTTGCAAGTATTAAATTATACAGATTATGGATGACATTTATTTTTCTAGACTTCCTCATGCGCTAGGTCGCAGCTGGGGTGCGGATATCGATCAGTTTTTCTCTTTGCCTTTCTTTACAAGCTTTGGGCAGAGGCTTAAAAACCACTCTGGGATTTCCTGGAATGGCAACCGGATATGATCAGTCAAGTGTTTGGGGCTTTCTGCAGACTTGGGAAGCAGAATAGAGGAAGGGAGGGAAGAGGGCCCGCATGTTTGGGAAAGGAAGGCGGTGAGAAGGTGAGGGGTGAGAGTACAAAAGGAGTCCCTGCCTCGAATTATTGTTGAGGTTCTCATTTATGCAATGTCGCATATTCAAAACTCTTCATCATCTTTTATTATTAAGTTTTGAACATTTGGCTTGTGGAACGCATCGTTGTTTTGGAGAACCCATCTGTTAGGTGGTGTGTGTTCAAAAATTTGCTAGGATACTTCCGTGTGCGCTTCTATTTCTCAGCATGGTGAACAGCATTGGGAGCTGCTTAGATTACAAAGTCCTTAAACATTTTTTAGCATCTGAGTTTTGGTTTTCTGTTATTACAGAGAATATATACTTTATTTGGCTCATAGCAGGTATAGAAGTAAGTCAGTTTCCTTATTCCTATACCCAAAGTTTCAGTTTAGTGTGTATTTTTGCGATGATAACTCTTACGTATGGTCATTTATACAAATGTTTGTATGACTTTTAGTTATATAACAAGTAGTATAATGGATAAAATACTTAAATTTTATACTTGTAACACGTGTCAGGGTAGACATTCAAGCCTGGCGCATAGGAATTCTTTTAATATTGAATTGATGAGTAAGCATAGAACAATCTACACTTACTCTCTGGAAGTATACTAGTGAGGCTTTGGTCTTCAGGGTTAAAGAACCAACCTTGCCTTCAAAAAATCTATTAGTAGCTGAGCTTGATGGTACAGACCTGCTTATAACCTTAGCTACTTAGGAGACTCAGTTTACTTAGACTTAGCTACTTAGGAAACTCAAGTTTAAGGTCTGCCTGGACACAGAGCAAACTACAGGCTAGCGTGATCAAGCAAGCAAGACCGTGTATAAATACATACACACGCGTGTGCGTGCATGCATAAATGACTGTGTGGACAAGCGCTTCCCTAACAAGCATGAAGCTATAGATTCAACCCCCACTATTGCCAAGAGAAAAGGTCAAGGTTGAGGACGAGGCTCAGTGGTCCAGCATGAGAGCAAGGGTGTGATGATAGGCACATTTGCCTTAGATCAAACGCATTAGCTCGTGCTGCCATCGACACCCCGCTGTCCACTGTGCTACTGAAGTCCTGGTCTCTGGGGTAAGGGCTACCCGAGGTCTTTTCTGGTGCAGAGTTCTTCCAGCCAATGTGTCCTTTGTTATAAAACATCATCAAGGGGTAGCAACGCTTACTAGAGAGATGCTTTTGTTGTGGTGTGTCCCACACGGCTTTAAACTAAAATCAGAAGTTAGCGTACGCCCCGTGGAAGGCTGCCAGAATCCAGGTGATTGCTGCTCTCTTTCTCACTCCGTTTGATTCTGTTTCTCTGGGATGAGCTCCATGGGCGGTGACTCAAGTCTTCTCCATCATCTCCTTCTGCATGCCCTCCAGACCGCTCTGTGTCTCTCGTGTGTCCTCTGCTCTGTGCTTCACACAGCGGTGGGCACTGCCTAGAAGGGAAGTTAAAGCCACTGCCTGTGCTTCTGTGTTCGCCGTTGGTGCACAGCACTCTCAGGAGAGCCGGCGGATCTGCCCAGCCTTGGGCTCCTCCCTCTCAACCGAGGTAGACAGTTTACCATTGTGAGCCTGGTTAACTTAGCCAGAGAATATATGCTACTGAGCAAAACAAAAACATAAAAGAAAGAAAAAAAAAAGCCCCAGTGAGCCTGACAAAAACCAATACCCAAGCAAGCTGCTCAGAAGGTCCTGAACATCAATAAAATAAATAAATCCTGGAAATAAAGGATTAAAACCCTGATTCCATTGACCCTCACAGATACTCTACTTTCGTCTTTCTCTGGAAGTGCTTTAGAACACGTTGGAGTAGGAATCATGTTCTCTGTTAACGTGTCTTCAGATTTCAGAGGAAGAGGCTTCTCTTTCTTGTTTAGGATCTTTAGCCTCCTTGCCTTCAGAAGGGCTCTTTGATGGTAGCTTGTGTGGTAGTTAGGAGGGTGTGCACCTTTCCTCTTGGCTTTTGTCAGTTTCATTGCCATTTCTTAAGATGTTTTCTATGTGTGTTACTGTATTGTCGATAGATAATACACAGAGCTGAGTAGTTTGAGA